CTGGTATTTGGAGGGTTTGGAGGGACAGCTCAAGCAAGTCCATGCTTTTACTCCACCATCTTGGCTCCTCCCCCTGTATTGTCATAACCAAGATTTTCATGCTCTCATTGTGAATAAGATGGAAAGTGTGTGCTAGACTATAATCCAGTTAGGTGGTTATACACCTGGTTACATGGCCAGAGCCATAATAGTCACTTGTACTTCAACGTCACCCAGGAAGAAATTCTCCAGTGGAATGTTCCAGGGATCTGTGATTGTCCCTTTGTTGTTTAACATCTTCTCAATGACTTGCCTAAAGGCACTATAGATGGTATGCCTACCTGTCAAATTGGCAGATGACATAAAGCTAGGTTTGATAATTAGATGAGAGAATCAGGATCCTGAAATCCCCAAACAGGTAAGGACATTGGGGGTAATTTAGAAAGATGAAACTTGGTAGGAGATACTATAAAATCTTAGAGTTGGGTTCAAAAATCTCATTTTACAAGAATAATATGAGAGAGCTTTTGCTACGTAGTAGTGAGGCTGCAAAACATTTGGTGATTTTAAAGGAATGAAAGTTCAAAATTTGAACATAATGGCAACAGAAAAAGTTAACTTGCTTAGACGTCTTTGAAAAGCCTCTTGTCTAAGTCTGGGGAGGTAAAGGTCACATTGCCCAAGCCAGACCCAGATCTAGAATATTGTATTTAATTCTGGCCAACATACGTTAATAAGAAGATTGATAAGCTACTAAATATCCAGAGTAAAAATACTAGAATGGTGAAAGGTCTTGATATCATGCTATATCAGAAGCCATTGTAGAAAATGAAGGTTTTGGTACGGAGAGGAGAGGAGAAGACTTACAAGGGATGTTAGTTGTCTTCAAATATTTGAAGGGTAGTCACAAGGAGTGGTCTACTGTGGGAAATAGTGAACTTCATTGGGGTCCTTAATCAAAGGCTCGATGACCACTTTGGGGATAGACTTCAACTTGAATTCTTGTTTGGGTCTAAATGACCTGTGAAGTACTTTCCAACTCTGAGACTCCTTGAGGACAAAGGCCATGTCTCTTTTATCCTTGAATCTCTTCCATCACCTAGTATAATATATTATGCTTTGTAGGTGCTCAAGAAATGTATGTGAAATATATGAGTGAACATGTAAATATAATCCATATCCTTTTGTAACGAGGTTCAGTTTCCAAATATATAGCAGGAGTTAGTATTACTTTTGTGGAATACATCAATTAAAATTCTCACTCTTTTTATGTAACAGTTGCTGTCAACTTAGGGATAGGGGGTGGAGAAGTGATTTCATTGACATAGACAAAATATACTCTACCAATGCAGAAAGTTACCTTCTCTTTGCCCGAGAGGGTTGTCTAGATCCCTGAGAGGTTAAATGAATTTCCAGCATCACATGGCCAGTATGTGTCAGAGATGGTACTTGAATTCAGGTCTTCCCAGGCATGGTGGTTTCATGCCATGGTGCAGTATGCCATGTTATCTTTCTTTACGCACACAGCCATCTTAGGTTAATATAATTGATTTCTCATTCATTCAAGGGTTCTCTGTTGGCTCATATGTCAAAAGTCATTCTGTAGTACTTTCTTCGCCATGAACCAATATAAACTGGTAGCACTGTTTTCTGGAATCCCATTAGAGTCCAGTATAACTCACCATTGCATTGCCAACTTTTACCATTGTCTTAACAATAAGGTACTTTCTAGAGAATGAAATTTGAGTTATTTAGCTTCACTTACTTTTTCTTGACTTGTTTTACTTCTCAGAGTTCTTCATAAGCAACTCACGCTTTCCACACAGTCAACTTAAGAGAAAAGGATTGGTCTAATGAAACGAGTTTCAAACATATGGCTGTCATGTTACCTTTTGTAAAAATCAAAATCTTAGCTACATTTCCATTGGAATGAGACCCATTTACGTGGAGTCTTCACTCACTTTATTATGATGTTGGTGTCACATGGCCTTTGAGGTTAAATAGTAGTATCCACATTGGTTTTCCCTGGCCAGTAGTGTATACTGCATTAATAATTGCCTAATGCTAGTAGTCTTCTCTGCCAACAAACATTTAAGTTGGCACTAGTGAAAATGTGTCAGTATTTGTTGCTGTCAGTACTCATTTGAAATTTAGCTCTGTGATGATAATCTTTGAATATTTCGGTAGCAATGTACTTCAAAGCTAAGAACTCCAGTTTATACACATGATATCAAATCTGTCCCCAAAACTTTGACTGGTGAAGTTAATTGCTTTCTGATGAACATCACTCTATTGATACAAGATTTCGCTTAAGCTTTTCAAGCCAACATATATAAGCAAGACAAAAGGCTTATTTGTAGACCAACACCAATGAATGTGTAATGTGACTAATCACATCTATAAAAGCTTTTTCACTTTTTTCTATTCAATGACTAAAGCAGTATTATCAGTGTATTTCTGTGCTTCTTTAGCCCATAGTGAAGAAAATATTATGGAGTTTCTTGAAATTGAGTTTTCCTTAATTTAGTTACTGGGTTCATGCTCAAATATTTTTATTTTTTAAAAATGACTGCCTCTGAGTAGTGTTTATCTTCTTACACAGTAGGGATGTCTTTAGACCACACCATGCTTTCAATTTCTTTGCTCATTTGGGTCATTCTGATTATTCATTATTTGTGTAATTCCTTTTTCTATCAATCCTGATCATGTATCAAAATCCTGTTACAATGTATCAGACATGAGAGAGATGATGGCCAGAATTAACTCTATCAGTGCTTCTGTTGACTTCTCAATTCTGAAAACACAGTCTCACCGTTCATCCATCTCAGTATAGTAGCTAAGGTGTCCCCTAATGTCACTATATCAGAATTTTTGAATCTGGGAATTCACAAAATACTGACTGATTTTTTGTTCAGATATTATCCTGCTAAATATCACTTGGGATTTTCCCAGCTCCTTTTCAATTTTTAATAATAATCTTTTCATATTTTTATAATAAGAATGTACTTCTAACATTTAGAGTCTTCGTTGTATGCCTATTGAATCACTATATTTATTAAACATGTAAGGTTCTATCTTTCAAGTCATTGTGACATGACATTTGTTATAATGATAACCAAGAATGAGAAGCTAATCACTAAAATGCAGCATATACAGTAGTACTCAATAGAACTTTATTTATAAGAATTTAATATGTTTAAAATAAATGATAAACAAAGATTGCAGCATGTCTCTTAATGCTAATCAAATAGCTCTAAGTTCCAACCTAGTTAATTAAATATTATTTATTAAATATTCTGTTCCCATAATCTTTTTGCTTCTCTCTTGATAAAGATTGAAGCATCTATCCATCTATCTATCTATCTATCTATCTATCTATCTATCTATCTATCTATCTATCT